TGTGAATTGGGGATGCCGTTTCCCAAAAAGCCCCCCGAAGAGCTCCGTCTCCCCCGCCGGAATCTTGGGTATCTCATTCAATGCAGAACCGGACATGGCGATTTCCGTGCGTACCACAATAGGTTTCAACATGGAGATGCCCTCCTGACTTGCTCTTGTGGAGGTAACAAGTCAGTCACCCATTTAGTTTTTTGCCCTCTCGTTCGAAAGAGATTGGCCTCCAATGGTCACCGTCAAAGCTTGGGCACACTAGCTTTTCTCCTCGGCACCTCCCGTGGTGCTAAGCGTTTTTCTATTATATTGGAGAGGAGTGGGTTTCTGTCAGAAATCTGCCCAACCCGTGTCAATTAATCAACCTTTGTGAGGGATATGCTGCACAGCGCTCACAGTAACTTATCTAGTTTGTGTATAGGCTTGATCGCCTCCCATAGGGTGGAAAAGAATGTAGAATATAATAGTCACCGTGTCCCCCCAGGGATGGGGCTGTAGTCTTTTGATATTGCCCGGTAGACCTGTTAAAAATAAATAAATAAATAAAAATAAATAAATAAATCAAGTCACCCCTGTCATAGGCAACTGTGGCGCGGAAAGGCTTGTGTACCCCTGCCCATCCACTCGAGACTACAAAAAAACTGCATCCATGTATTACGACTGACCTCAGGCTGATAGTAGAAGACTGCTTTCAAAGATAAGAGAACAATCACTCTGTATTTGAACCTAAAGCTACGCACGATAACTAGAAGAAAGGACGAGATGAGGAAGAGATCTCGAGTCTTGCTGAACTGAAAACTCCACTAGCTCGCTTCCGGGACCAGTGCTTACTCAACCAGACTCTCCACCACAGATACCAGAAACCCAGGACTTGTAAGATCAAGCCGTAACATCATGGCCATAAAATCCAAGCCCGACTCGAGGGTCATGGCTCGCCTTGCGCCACTAGGATATTCTCCTTGTCCGCACGAAGTTGAGCAGCCTTCTAGACCGTCCAGAGCTAATCAAGGACATTCGTTCGGCCCCATCTGGCATTGCTTTGGTTACGCCCTCTTCCGGCCAAGGGTCAGGCGATGAATGATCGTGGACATAAACCGTATGATGAAAAGATTTACTACAGATCTAAAAAGAGGTGCAAGGTGGAGGAGCTACATACAATTTGCTTTACAGGAGAAACATTAGTCCGAGCAGTTTTGCTAATCATCTACACCTTGACCTTATTGCATGTTCCAGCTGCCAAATACAAATGATCGCCACTTGGAATAACTCGACTCCGCTTCAATGCTATTGTTTCGTTCCCTCACACCAACCTCCAGATCTTCTCGGGGCAGCTGTAGCTTTACAGCCCATGACTAGAATTGTACCAATTGAAAGGCAACAAAAACGTGCAAACTTTCTTCTTGACCCAGTTCCCAAGTACGGATACAATTTCGCCGCATCACCCGTCGCAGTTATCCGGCAGGAGCTAACAGCCGCCAAAATTGATGCTAAGTCGATCTTCTCCACCTCATGGACGCGCCGATCGCGGAATCCCCTAAGTGGGAAGAAAAGCTCCATCTCGCAGTCTCAAAGCCAGCTTCAGAGAAACTCCTGACCAGTATTCGCATCTTTGCGCGCTCCGCTAGATTCCGGCCAGCTGGCAATCACCCCTGCCCTAAGGTCTACCTGTCCAGACCTAATGGGATATATTTGACTATTTTTGAAATGGACATGGGAATTTAGGACTTTATGTGATTTATTATGATTATGCAAGGCGTTATGGGGATGTAGCTTACCTTGTAGTTTCATTCCGTAGTTGGTTAGAGAGAATAAGAATCATAACGAGTAGCGATTTGAACGCCACTATTGTGATCACACTGTAAACATACCGACACTGCCCCTGCTATCACGGATTCCATAACATAAACAGCTGCACACGTCGAGCCTGGTGTAGCATTTGCGCCTCGGACCCTCATAATGGTCCCTGCATGATACCTATAAAATGCTTGAATTGCGCCGGCCCGCACGAGGCTTCTTCCTCCGTCTGTCCAGCTCGTCTATCTAGCTCGTCTGTCCAGCTCGTCTGTCCAGCTCGTCTGTTTCGAGCCGATGGGGTCTTTGTTCGGCCAGACTGTTGGAACTGGAGACACAGAGTGTTGTGGACGTACGGGCCCTCCATTTCGTCTAGGTTCCCGACACGATCTTGTGTGTATGTAAGAGGTTGGAATGGGCAATATGGTAGCGCTTAGGCTACCTATTGGAGATATGAGCGGCTGTATGGCGTGGGCGCAAGGAGGTTATTGAGATTTTTCCATGCCTAGATGGCGCCACACTCGTTTATGCTGTGGCTTAGGCTCTGTGCCGCTTACACTTGTACTTGTAGCGCCCACTTCCCACACTTTTAGCCGTAATGCGAACATCACACTCTTTTAGTCAACTTCTACTTTCGTTCCATGAATATTGCGCCCATTTCATTGCGCGATATTTCCAACACAGACAAAGAGAGAAGACGGTTGATTCGGCAGGAGGGATACAAAGCATGGCTTGCCCTGCATTCTCCTCCGCCTCCTAGTGACCCCCTCATCGGGAGTCCATCATCACAGTTCTCGCGAACTATCACTCCAGCTCCTATACTGTACGTGGTCTCGGTATCTAGGTTTGCTCCGCTGGGTAACCTTGATGAATCACCATGAGAGGCTGAAATTCGGGTGAAAGAAAGCAGAAAATTACTGTCGGTAGATGGATCATATTTGGGCAGTACGAATTGTTCTATCTAATTGCGGTATTCAGGTTGTCGTCAGGGCACTGACAGGGACTTGACAGAGCTCACTAGCGAGGCGCTTGGAGTAGAGGAAGAAAGGGCAGAGGGAGAAGGAAAGAGAGACAACGTTTTACGTATTTCGAGATACCAGTTAATTGAGATAATTCATCGACTTCGTGACGGCACCCAATTTGTATTACTTCGTGTTTTACCAACAATTACAGTCCCCTGCTTCTGAAAATCAACATCATTAGACCTAGCCCTAATTACGAAGGTGCCTCGGCTATTGGGAAATAAGTCGGGCTGATGAAGATATTCACGACGGGCTTAAATAAACCAACTTGATCTTTTTGTAAAGCAATAATCTTTCCATGGAACCATCGTTGCATAGGAATACGCGTTATCTTTTCTCACTCGGCCTGACCTTTTTGGAAATTTCCCTGTAAAGCCCGCTGTCTGTGCGAGGAATTTCATGCTACTTGTAGAAGTACTGTAACCTTTTCTGGTAGAGGAAGATTTGCTATACTTCAATTGGAAATCAGAGTGGCGGATAGCTGGTCGGGCTCTTTTGTAGCTTCTGGATTCTGTAGGGGCTGGGTTGTCTGGTTCGGGATAATGATCTTGAGCTGTGCACTGGCACGACGCCAAATTTAATCATACTCAATAAATTACACGGAGAGGATTGTGAGCTAGCACGACGTTGATAAGCAAAAAAACAAAGGGCTCAAAGCAATTTCGCCATTCAGCCAAGTAGCGAGCATATCGGGTCTAATTCTTACCGGCACAGAAAAGTAGCCGAAGTAGAAAAGCCAAGCTGCCAATGTAGATATCCGTCGCAAAATGACAAGCATATGGTGTTGGTGTGTCCGCAGTGGGCAGGTGGAAGAGGCGACTTTCTCCGACAGGCTAAAGACTGGTCATTCGAAGCAGTGGTGAATAGGCCAGAAGATGTAGCTAGAATTCCACAGTGGATACTAAGCAAAGCGTGGATAAAACAGTTTCGACTCGTAGGGGAAGCCGAGGTAGCCATATGGGACAAAATAAATTGATCTGGAAGGGGAGAGGACGGAATGCACACTGGCTCAACAGTGTACACGCAAATAGGACATAAATGGATAAAATAAATATATAAAAAAACAGTCTACACTGCACTTCCTAAAGGTAAACAAAACAAATTGATAGCAGTATAAACAGGCAGGATAAGGGGATTCTGACCAAATTGGTTTCCTCCCTTGTAGATAATGAAGATAGTCAGCTGCATAGGCCCCATACGGTGCCTGATTGGGTTGAATAGGATCAAATTCAAGATAACTCATAACTCACCACACGTAGTTTGGAAGACTATTCTCAACACCTGTCAGTGCTTTTCCCTACGAACCCTCAGCTCTCACTGTAGAGTCTGCGGAGCCATGATCGAGTAACAAAGTCCTAACTTGGATGGGAATTCCCAATCACTTTCGCCGTTTGTATCGTCTTCATCTCTCAACACATTCCCCTAACATCATTATCATGAAGCTAACCACGATCAGATCAGATGGTAGGGTCGGAGTCCTACTCATCACCCACCCCTGATCATGGAGGAAAAGCCATCCGATGAGTTTCCGGAGCGTATCCCGCACCCGATACGGAGATGGATTGAATCAAGATGGCCCCTAATGTTACAGAGAAGAAAGGTATTAGATAACACATCTCATATAGTCCCGGTGTCTAGACCTCGCCTGGCTGGCGCTGCCAGTTTTTTGAGACTTTTTCCCGCGCACGCAGTTCCCATAGCTACCCTTTTATTTTTTTGGGTGGAAGGTTCCGGGGAAAAGGTGGCCAAATTCCACGGGTAAAAACTGAGCTGAATGACTATTCATCACGGGCAATATATCAATGGCCTTTCAAGAAACATGAGAGGCAAGGAGCATTGTACGAGGTGTGGCCTGGCCAAAGAGGAGCCCAATGTGCTGGATAGTCATAGACTCAAGTAGAACAACAAAAACATCACATCATAACCAACATCCACCGCTCACCAGAGCACATGAGCCCGTGCCACTCCACCGACGGACAACAGAGTCATATAATTGCCATACACCTCTCAGCTCATAACCACAACACTTGTCAGCCTTGCGCGCCTCCACATATCGGCCTCGTTCTGATCGACACAAGGCCAGTCATATTTACGCTCACCTTACACGGGCTACACTGTAGAATATCAGGATTTCACGTGGACTTCAGCTCGACAGTTAGAGAAATATAGAAATCCTTTACACGTGTACTGTCTTTTCTATGAATTCCGAGTCGAAATCAAAGATCTATGAGGTGGTTGCCTTGGGGGGAAAATGGTATCTAATACCTGAATATAAAAAGGTGGTCGACTTTTGTATGAATCACAAAGTGTTTTGTCGACCAAATTGCCCAGCACTTTTTGCGTATGTCGAGGTCTGTCAACAAATGCTATTCTTTGATATTGTAGATTTCTTGTGCGTGAGCTATCAATTTTCTTCATTTGCTTCTCATTCAGTCTTTTGCCCAATTCACTTTTCTTCACAAGCCTTCCTTTGCGCCCGTTTCTTTGATGGAACGATTTTAGTATCGTAAATAATGATCTAAGATTATTGTTTTCAAAGTTGATCGTGTTAAAGAACCATGCCGCTTTATGTTCACCACATTGCTCGAGTATGTGCACTCGGCCTTGATACCACACTACTGCTATTGTTGTGTCGGGAGTTGAAAGAATAAATGATTGATGGGGTAGTATCAAGTCTTCTACTTTGACTGGATAGTCAGCATTGATTATGATGGATGAACATGTAGATGTAGATGCTGGCACAAAATATCCATATTTTCCTATAATTGAAATTTTTTTTTCAAAGGCCAGAGTCGCGATGGATCTTGCGGTACATCTTTTAGATTCAACGACTTCCGATAAACTTGAAGTCTTTTCAGCACCGATACTCGGGGCCAGACTTTGAAGATGATGATAACACGTTTGATCTGCTAGAGAGTTTCTATCAAGATTTAGGATTTCTTGGCCTGTCATGGGCGAGCCTCCAACAATAATTTTTGACATCATTTCGGTGAACGGCATCGTTTTTGAACAATAGATCGCATAGTGAGTTCCTAGAGTATGAGAATCATCTATCGCCATAAAAATGCCCGAGTCATCTTCAGGTTTCGGGAATCCACCTGTAGAAGCTGTATAGACCTCATCATAAGTTTTGCTATCCGTACTCCATCTATTATCTATGGAAGTGAAAACAATACGGTCTGATTTTAAGAGAGGGTTCCGTATTAAGAGCATCGCGTAGATGCAGATTACAGCCATGGTATGCTGGTTGATGTGATGCAGATTGATGATATATTTTTTTGTATCAATAGTCGAATAATACCTTTGAAAAGAACGAAATTCTATGCCGATGTTTGTGCGTACAAGTCTGAGCTTACGTTTTCAGGATGTAGAGTCTGGCGATTTCAGGATAGTTCACAGTACAGATGAACTTCCAAATTATAATTTGGGATGATGAAATTCCAGTTATTCGGCATCTCGGGCATAAGCCTTGCTTGAAAAATAAATGACGCGGTATTATAATTCTAATTTTTATTGCCTTGTCATAGTCTATGACCATGTAGGAAATGCAGTAAATGACCCGGTAGATCCATAGAAAATCGACACCAAGATCACTGGTATTCACGGCAGGTCAGCCAAGATGAGGTGTGAGGGAAATCATTCTCAATCATCCGGGACTTCTTACGATGCAGCTTCCCCCGATACAATAACTGATATGTATCATTTCCTTCATTCGCGCTGTTTCCACTCTCGTAAATGCATGACACCCAAGTTACTGGCTTCCTTCCAAGCTTTCTTAGCAATCTTGGCATCATTTTCCGAGGGACTCGCCACCATCTATGCATGGCTAGGCTGAGGAGGACAATACTGAACACCTGTACGCGGTGTCCTCTATGAACCTGGGAGTAAAATATTCTCTGAGCCAAGTTTAGTCAAATTTCGCAATACCGAACAAGTTGGCCCATGAGGCAATGGTTCAAGACTCTTCACCTAAATAATTTCTCCCAACGAGATCGATCCCCATCAACACTTCATCAAGTTTACAAGTACGACCTGGTACATCCTCGTTTTAATGACCACGCTTCTCATAGACTATTTTCTGGGCTTTGCTGGACACCAATTACGCATCCTCGCCCATATTTATACCCGACGGAGGAAGCAAAATGTGGCGCACAAATCTGGGAGACTGTTCTCTGAGATGGGCATGAGAGGAATCATGACAAGTTCACAAGATGGTGCAGAGGATGGATACATTTTCGGCGGTCGTTGAATTTCGAATTCTGACAAGGAGCTTTACGAATCGAGCATTGTGCGTGCGCTAAGTCTTCGGTTGCGAGAGTGCAGGCAACACTATAAACACCGCTGCGGCTGGATAGTGCGATGGTACATCGTCTTGGCCTGTCTCCCGAGTAAGGTCTGGATAGCTTGGATACTTATCTAACTCGAGACAGTAGATCGCTGGTTCGAATCCGGCATAACAAAACTATATTTCTCGCAGTGCTAGTATACATAGATGACGACGGCAAGCTTGGATAATCAAAGGTTTTGAATTTCACTTTAGTGGGTACTCATGGAGAAGGGTCAACTGTTTGTGTAAGGAAGCATACCTCATAGTGGTATTTGCGAATGAAATCTAGAGTATGAGTGTCTCTAACGCCAAAAGAGTCATCCAACATGTATACATAGCACTGGTCATGTGTCATAGCTAGATAGCTGCATACACATTAAGTGATTTGAAAAAAAGGGTAAGAGCTTACGGAGGTTTGTTGGCACAAGTTTAAGGGATGATTATTGGTGAGTCAACGTGAACTGCTGATTATTTGATATTCAGAACTGCAAGGATGTGAGAGGTAGAAAGCGATAATTATTATTATGGGCTAGGACATTCGGCCAAGGCACGAAAGCAATGCCACAATTAAATGTTTATATTTTCTATGAGTAATGTAAGAACGTGAAGGGGGACTATTCTCAACACCTGTCAGTGTTGTCCCTACGAACCTTCAGCTCTCACTGTAGAGTCTGCAGAGCCGAAATTGAGTAAAAAAAGTCCTCACTTCGATGGGGATTCCCAATCGCTTTCGCCGTCTGTATCGTCTTCATCTCTCAACACATCCCCCTATCACCATTATCATGAAGCTAACCACGATCAGATCAGATGGTAGGGTCGGGGCCCTACTCATCATCAACCCTTGATCACGGAGGAAAAGCCATCCGATGAGTTTCCGGAGCGTACCCAGCACCCGATACGGAGACGGTGGATTGGATCAAGACGGCCCCGACTGTTACAAAGAAGGCGGATGTAGATGAATATATGCACCTCATGTGGTCTCGGTATCTAGGCCCCGCCTGTCTGGGGCTGGAGGTTTTTTGAGACTTTTTTTACTGGGTTGGGGGAGAAGGTTTCGTGGAAAAGCTGGCTGAATTCCATGGGTAAACACTGAGCTGAATGGATATTCATCACGGGAAATATATCAATGACCTTACTAGTAATAAAAGAGCCGAGGAGCACTGTACAAGGTGTAGCCTGGGCCAGAGAGGAGCTCAATGTGCTAGATGCCCATAGACTCAAATAGGACAATTAACATACATCTCTCTCTATGTCTTTCTTAGGAGTCTGGCTCATACGATGTATCACCGCACCATCCAACCATGGCTGTTTTTATTATGTCACCTGCACTCTCGAAATTGAAGGCTTAGTGCGCACAGTGCGCTTCAAATTGTAATTATGCCTGCCAAAATTCAAAATCTCACTCCTTGAGCAATTTTATCCACCAATTTCATCACCTTTTCAGTCTGTTGAGATCCCTCTCACCGTCATCCCAAAAATTTGCCCCCCATATTTGTACACTGCGATATGCCTCCTCCGAATGTTATTTTTATTTTCGTGGGCGTGTATGGAGGCCACTTCAGACTAGAGACTGAGTAGATGATAATTATGCTGATGATGAAGTCAGGGTTCACAGTTTCGTACGCGTAGACCTGGTGAAGCTTTGGTGGTATCCGATCTCGTTGGAAGAGAGAGTTTGATTTGGGTTTTAATATGCTGTCTGAGTCATAACCTATCCAACCCACAGGGCTCATATCTGACCCAGGCAACAATTTCGAGGTGCTGCTATCCTCATTTTCCATGAAGTAATATCTGAGATGCAATGCCTCTGGTGGAGAGCCGTTCAGCACAACATTTACTCGCAGAACTCAACATCCTTCTCTACACAACCTTCGACCCAAAAAATGGTATCAATGGAAATAGTGTGCGCGGGAAAGTTTTTCGGAGACTCTGTAGCACTAGTCACGCGAGATGCGTAAATCCATGAGTATCTCTCTTCCTCGTACGTAAATAGACCAGCTTTATCCAACTTATTACCGCCGCATTGTGAGCTAGGCACACTCTGGAAACTCATCGGATGGCTTCTCCTTCATGATTAAGGGTGGGCGATGATCAGGATTGGACCCTAGCATCTGATGTGATTTTGTGTGTTGTTGTTATTGTTGTTGTTTTATTTTTAAAGTCCTGAGCTAAAGTAAAAAGCTCTACATCCTACTATTGGTACAGGACCGGTGGAGCCGGTAAGGATCACCGTACACAGGTCCAACTCATTCCAACCTCGTCAACTTCCACATAAATGGTGGTGTTAACAGCAAAACTAAAATCAAAAACTTAAATCAAAAGCTAAAATCAAATTTAGACGAAATCCCTGTAGGTCCGGATCCCGCACTTCTCGCCCGTTCCCTTTCCTGTCACATCTTCCAAGTGACACTTTCTAACCTACGCTGAGAGCAGAGGATGAGCTCGCAGGCACCCTTTTTCCATCTGGTGTCCTACTGTTAGTGTGTTGAAGCCTTGACGACTTCACTAAGGCTGGCCGCAACCTTAAACCTCCTCTTCGGATTCCAGAATCTCAAAACCCGATCCGTCTCACATATAGACGTCATTCTTCGCGCCATGAATCGCCTGAATGGCTATTTCGGCTGCAGCTCTGATGCGAGTAAAATCTGCGTGGTTTTTCTGCTCGATCTTGCGAATCATCGCAAGCTGCTCTTTTTTCACCGGGCCGAACTTGCTGGGTCTGGCTTTGCAGTACCGCGAGTCCGATCGATGAGGTCCCCCACAGTTTCGACATCGTGTGGGGGCTTTGCACTCCGTTTCAGAATGCATTTTTGATCCGCAGTTCCAGCAAGCCGGAGCGCGGGAGCAGCCGCGTGAGGCATGGAAGCCAAGACATCGATTACACTAAACTATTTTTCGACGAAGTTGGAAGAGCTTTGCAGCTCCGGAGTCATCGAAGAGGCGAAATCCAGGTCGGGGCGTGAATTCGCGAAGGAAGAGCGCTTGCCAGTTCTGGTATGGCGCCCCGGGCTTGCTCGTCCCATGAGGACGAACAAGAAAAGGAACTGATTTGGTCACTCGCGTGACTTCGTCGGCGACCATCTTTTCCGTGATGAAAACGGAACCTGTGAGTGTATTAATTCTCAGCGGGACGGTGGCAATTAGTAGGGCAACCATATTTGACGCTGGTTCCAATTTAATTCCTGATTCTTTCCGTTCTACGGAGGAATCAAGGAGCTCTTTCCGAGCGATTTCATCCTTTGCTGTTAGAGCAAAGCCTGTTTTGACCCGCTGGCCCAACGTAATGTTGTTAGCCGCGGTACCGAGTGCCTCTTAGACAGCTGATCTTACGCCAGCTGGTGCAAGGATTCGGTGGGGATGGTCGGAATCGAGGCGTAGAAACAGTCGCGTATCAACCGCTGTCTTCGTATTGGCTCCCTTTGCTATTGGAGCGGGCGGGGCTGCCTTTTTTGTGGATGGTTCAATGCTGTGGCCAAGGCCTGCTTGGGCTACATTCCCCCACATTGTCTTTTGGGCCGGAGCCTGGGTTGTCGAAGGGTTAGGTACCCTTTTTTCAAGAGCCCTCGGCGGAGGAGGGTTACTGGGGCGCACAGGGAGAGCTGATGGAGTGCTCCATGGGCCTGATTGTACAAACTGGCCAATGGCCGCTCGAGGTAGACTTTGATGCCGTCTACAAACTCTTTTTCGTCGCCAATCGAGAGAGGCGAAAGTGCTGCTTCAACACTGCTTATTGCAGTGGAACAGATTGATAAACGGGCCTTGATTTGCGTCGTTCGACGCTTCTCGGCCTCCATCACTGATTGCAGCCCCGGTGGATATTCCGGTGGATATTCCGGTGCTGATGTCGAAGCTGCGCCTTTTGAGGCTGGCATAGCATTATTTCCGG